TTTTTGATATTAATACAAAAATAATACCATTTTTGATAAAATATCCTATTTTAGGTTCAAAATTAAAAGATTTTTTAGATTTTTATAAAGCTGCTAGTATAATAGAAAAAAAAGGACATTTAACTAAAGAAGGATTAGAACAAATTATAATTATAAAAAAAGGTATGAATAGGAATAGAATAGGAATATAAAAAGAATAAAAATAAATTTATTAGAAAAATATTTAGATCCATTAGCTTTAGCTATTTGGATTATGGATGATGGAGGTTTTACTAAATATGGAGTAAGAATCGCAACAAATAGTTTTACTTTAGAAGAAGTTGAATTTTTAAGAGATTTATTAAAAAAAAAATTTAATTTAAATTGTACAGTTCAAAAAATTCAAACTAAAGGTCAATGGTCTTTATACATTAAAGCTGATTCTATGAAAAATTTAAAAGATTTAGTATTACCATATATTCATCCAAATATGTTATATAAAATAGATTTAAAAAATAAAGATTAAACAAAAAAAATTTGAAATATAAAATTCTTTTAACATAATATAAATATATAATAGTCGTGAGTATAAAATAAAACTATTTTATATTCTAAGATTTCGACAGAAATCTTTAAAAATTTTATAAATAATTTTTATTTATAAATTTTTAGGCGATACAAGTGAAAACGGTTAAAATATAATTAAATTTCAATACCATATAATTATACAAGACCGTCAGTAAATAATTTTATTTTTTATATTTATTGCTACAGACTTGGTCACTTGTAGGTCCGTGTATGTATTAATACATTTAAAGGGCTTTATGTATAGTCGATTATTATCAAAATATATTAATATATTGATATAGCACCAATGGTATTGGAGTTACGAATATCCAGATTATAATAGTGATATTTCTTTTGATTCATTTATGCAACCAACAGAAGATTTAGAAAAAGGACAATTTAGATTATTAGAATTAGATAATAATCCTGTTTTACCTGTTGGTATACCTATTAAAATTATAACTTCTTCTAGTGATGTTGTACATAGTTTTACTATACCATCTGCTGGTTTTAAAATTGATGCTGTTCCTGGTAGATTAAATACAATTACTTGTCATTTTGATAGAATAGGTAATTTTTATGGTCAATGTTCAGAATTATGTGGTGTTTTTCATTTTGGTATGCCTATTCTTTTAGAAATAGTTAAAATAGAAGAATATTTAACTTGGTTAAATTCTATAAATGAATAATTTAAATAATTTACCTATATTTAATTTATTTATAATTATAAATTTATCCATATAGAAAGTTTAATAAATATATTATTAATAATTATGATTCAATATATATTAAAATCTAGAAAATTTTTTTTAATTTTTAAATAATTAATTAAAACTTATAAAACTGATTATTAATATCATATAATTATTCTTAAATATTTAAATAATAATTCTATTTATATTTATAAAATTAATAAGTTAAAATATATTTTTGTTTTTTTATTTTTAAGTTGATATAATTATAATTTACTTAATAAAATTTATATTATATTTTTTATTTTAGAATTAAAATAAAATTAATTATCAATAAAAAAATATAATAAAAATTATAAAAATTTAACTTTTTAAATCTTTAATCTTTTTATTTTATAATGTATAAAAATTTAGATAATAATTATTAATTTATATAGAATATATAAATATTATATAAGTTTATAATATAAATAAAAATAAATTATAACTACTCCTTGTAAAACAAAGTTATATATTTGTTTATAAAATATATTTTTAATTTAAACTTGAAATTATTTTATTGAAAATAATTTTAATATATTAAAGATTTAAATATTTTTATTAAAAAAAAAATAATTGGTATTATATTAAAAACATTTTATATTTTTAGTATAAATATTATAGGAATAAAATTAATTTGTTTATAAATATTATTAAAAAATTAATATAAATAAAAAATTAATTTAAATAATATAATTTATAATAAATTATCAATAATTATAAGATTTAAAAAAAAATATAATTATATTATAACTAAAAATTATTTATAAATTAAAATTTTCTAATATTGCTTTATAAGAATAATATATTTTATCTATATTAGATAAAATATTTATTATAGATAATATAATATGATTATTAATAAATTAAATTATAAAATAGTATTTATTATTTTTATATAATTAAATCTATATTTATAATTATTAGTAAAAAGATAAAATATTAAAAATTTATATAAATGACAATTTTTTTTATTTATTTAAAATGATACTGAACTAAAATTATTTTTAAATTATATATAATTTTAATTTATTTATAAACTCTTAAATTTAATAAATGATAATTTTAAATAATTTTTAAAGATATACATTATCCGTATTATTTTATTATTTGTAATATTTTTTATAAATAATAGTTAAAAAGAAATAGTAAAAGAATTAAATAAACATGAATATATAATTAATAAAAAAAATTATAGTAAAAAATATATAATTTTAACTATAATTATTATTTAATTTATAATTTAAATAAATATTAGAAAAATATAAATAAAATATTTTAATTTAACTTTATGAGAATAAAAAAAATAATTAATTTTTTATTTTATTAACTAATAATTTATATAAATTTTTTTTTTAATTATTTTTAAATATATTTTAGTATATAAATTATTATAATTTATATATATTTATATTTAATAAGTTAGTTATAATATAATAAATTTAAATATTATATATTTTTTATATTATAATGCCAGATTAGCTTAATTGGTAAAGCAGTAATCTTGTAAATTACTTTATATGGATTCAAATTCCTTATCTGGCTAATTTACCTACTTGGAGAAATTGGTAGACTCAAATGACTTAAAATTGTTTACACTTAGTGTGTGAGGGTTCAAATCCCTCAGTAGGTAATAAAGAGAAGAAAGCATTTTGGTATTGCAATCGCCCTGTAAAGGCGATGGTTTATAACCATTCTGGGTTCAAATCCCAGTCTTCTCAAAGGGGAGATAGCTTAATGGTAAAGCCTACTGCTCATAACAGGAAAGATGTGAGTTCAAATCTTACTCTCCTCAAAATAAATATAATGCGAATAAGTGTATTTGGTTTTGCACATAAGACTCATGATCTTAAAGAGATTGTTCAACTCAATCATTCGCAATTAGATCTCATCATCTAAGGGTAAGATTTAACACCTTCACTGTTATAATGTTCGTTCAAATCGGACTGAGATCAAAAATAAAAGGAATCGTAACTTAAAGGTTAAAGTATTTGCTTGATAAGCAAAAAATAATGGTTCAATTCCATTCGATTTCAATAAATAAAGATTAGATATCTTAAATGGTAAAGTATCGGGCTGCAAACCTGATTATGAGTGTTCAATTCACTCTCTAATCTTTAAATAAAATAAGGGAGTATAACTTAATTGGTAAAGTAACAAACTTTTAATTTGTATTATTTGGGTTCAAGTCCCAATGCTCCCAGCTTAGCAAGCCTTGATAGCTTAACTGGTTAAAGTATGGAACTGAAAATTCTAGGTAGGATGTTCAAGTCATTCTCAAGGCATTAGCAAGCTAGCTATAGTAGCTTAATGGTAAAGCAAATCACTGTTAATGATCTGATCTCTGTTCAATTCAGAGCTATGGCTAATAAAGGAAAAATCGCCTAATGGTATGGCAATAGTTTGCTAAACTACGGATATTAATATTCTTAGGGGTTCGAATCCCCTTTTTTCCGAAAAACAAAAGGTTAAATATTTATCCTATATAAAATAAATTAAAAAAAAAAATGAAATTAGCATTATTATTATTTTTAATAGGTATTTATGGTATAATTTTAAATAGAAAACATTATCTTTTAGTATTAATATCTATTGAAATATTACTATTAGCTATAACTATATTAGTACTTTATTTTTCTATTCTTCATGATGATATGTTAGCTCAAATATTTGGTTTATATATAATATCTATAGCTGCTGCTGAAACAGCTATTGCTTTATCTATATTAGTAGCTTATTATAGATTAAGAGGTACAATTAATATAATAACAATATCTGAAAATACAACAACTTTATTTCCTAAATTTACATTATAAATTTTATAATAATTCTTAATATTTTTTATTATAATTTTATTAAAATATATTTTTTTAAGGGTAGATGACTGAGTTGGTTTAAGGTGCTTCGCTTGAAACGAAGAGAAGTTTTGATTAACTTCCATGGGTTCAAATCCCATTCTGCCCGTACGGATAGTAGCGTAATAGGTAACGTATCTAACTTGGGATTAGAAGATTATAAGTTCAATTCTTATCTATCCGAAATAATAAAAATTATGGAAAATTAAAAAAATTTCATAAAAAATAAAAAAAAAAATGAATACATTATTATTATTTATATTAATAACACCTATTATATTAATTTTATTATTAATAATTAATTTAATTATACCTGTTAATAAACCAGATTTTTCAAAATTATCACCATATGAATGTGGTATGGATACAATAGGTACAGCTAGAGAAAAATTTAATATACAATTTTATTTAGTTGCAATATTATTTTTAGTATTTGATATAGAAGTTATATTTTTATTTCCTTTTGCTTCTGTTTTATATAATATTTCTTTTTTTGGTTTTTGGATAGGTACTATATTTATATTAATTTTAACTATAGGTTTTATTTATGAATTAAGTAAAGGTATTTTAAATTTTATACAAAATTAATTTAATTCTTTATTTAAATTATTTAAGGAAATAATTTAATTGGTAAAATATTAGTCTCCAAAACTAATTTTAAAGGTTCAATTCCTTTTTTCCTTGTTTTTATATTTTTATTTTATACACTCTTTACTTAATTGGTAAAAGTAATAATCTTCGAAATTATTTATATAGGTTCAATTCCTATAGAGTGTTTAGGCGAATATAATTTAATAGGTAAAATTACAATTTGTGGCTTTGTTTATATGGGTTCAAATCCCTTTATTCGCCTTTAAATTTTTATAAATCTTGTTTAGCTTAAAAGGAAAAAGCAACGATCTTCTAAATCGTTTATTGTAGGTTCAAATCCTATAACAAGTAAAAAAAAAATTCTTTTTTTTATAAAGTTGGGATTTAATTATATAATAAAAATTATAATAATATAATCTGCTCGTAGAGTCAGTATTTTATGATAATGATAGACTATAATTATCTTTTTTAATATTTTTATTATTACTAACTATTACTTTTGAAAATAATCTTAAAATTTTTAACATCTTTATTATTCAAAATTTAATTATAAATTTTATTTAAAAAATTAGTATCATTTTTAGTTTTAATTAATTTAGAACTAATAACATTATTAATTGTTATTATAGTTGAGATTATAACTGCCATTTCTGTTATTAATTTACCACCTATATTATTTTTTATATAGTTTAAATTTTTCATTCCTTTTAATTTTTTTATTTTTATTTTTATATAAAGTTAAATTTTTAAAATATTAATTCCTTTTATAAAATTATTATATTATATAATATTTATTTATAAATTTATTAATAACTTAAATAATAAATAATAATTATATAATAAATTTATATTAAAATTTTAAATATTTATTATATCATAATAATATGTGTAAAGTTATATATAAATAATATTATTTATATAATTTTATATTTCTTAAAATAATATATAATTTCTATTTATAATACTTTTATATATTTTTATTTATTACTTGCAGAACAAACAAAATATAAAAAATATTATTATACTAGTTAAATAGAGTTTTTATATAATATAAAAGTTTAGATAAAATTATTATATATTTTCACTTAGCTAGTATAAATTATTATACTATATATTATATTATTATATATTTCTCCTTTTATTTTATAAATATAAAATATATATATTAAAATTTAATATGTATTAAATTAAAAATTTTTTTACCTATTATAATATAAATAAAATATTTTTTTATTTTATAAGAAAATATATAAAATTAAAAAATTTAATTTTTTTATTTTTTAATTTAATAAAATTTTAAGTTTTTATACATTCAATACTTAAATTATTTAAACATAATTTATTAAATTTATTTAAACAATGTTTAATTTTAGTATGAATTTCTTAAATAGAAATTTTATTTTCTAATTTTAAATAACTCATATTTATTAGTGTTTAATTTAAAAATATTGATCCCAATGGGATCAATATTTTTATTCATCTAGAATTTTTTAATAAATAATCTAAACCAAAACCTGTATTATAAACAGTTGATGCATCAATAATAATATAAATATCTTTTATACAATATATAATATTGTGATAAAAATAATTCCAATATTTAAAGGACTATTTTTGTAAATTAATTTATTTGAAAATATTGTTTTTATAAAATTTATTATTAACATAAATAATATTAAAAAAATATCTATTATAAATATTATTAAATGTATTAGTATGTTATTATTTAATTTATATAATTAAATTAAAATACAATTATTATTTATAATTTTATAAATTCTTATTTAAGGTTTTTTATAAAAATATTTATTTTATCTGGTAAAATTTACATATTATATCTTTTATTTAATCTTATTTTTATATTGTACCATAAACCATTTTATTAATTAAAATAAACTTTAAAGATTGAAATTGAAAATTATTTTTAGAATAAAGGTAAATAATTTTATAAAGATAAAGGATTAAGTCTTTAATAAAAATCTTAAATAATTTTATTTCTATATTTAAGATTTTTATATTTCTAAACTATTGTTATAAGGTTAAATATTAGTAGAAGAAATAGAAATATTAGATTCTGAATGTTTTAATTTATTAAAACGGTTTAATACAGTTTTACCTTCATTATCTAATTGATTTAAAATTGAGTAACGAAAATCAATAGTATTCTTACATATATCATTTAATCTGTCTAATAATTGACCTAAATTAAAAAAAATGATCATTTATATATGAATGACCTTCTTTTAAAAAATATAGAATATTTAAAAATCTAGCTGTAATAGGTTTAAATATAGGAGGTCTCTCAGCATATTAATAAATACTATCAATTCCTAGTCCTGCACCTGTAATTCCAGCTGTTATAGCTACTACTATATAACTACCTTTAAAACATAACCACATTATTCCAGTAGAAGATGAAAATATATTTAATGGATTATTTTTTATAATCCATTTACCTGTAAATAGATATTTAGTATTATAATAAAATCTTATACTAAATATAAATAACATATATATAAATTGTATTAAAGACCCTATAGCTATAAAAATATTTAAAAATAGATAATTCGTATCTGTTTTTAAAAGCATAAAAATTACTAAAATGCTCCCTAATACTTTACAAAATTTAGTTAAAATATGATTATGAAAATTTTCTATATTTTTAAGTAATGTTGGTAAGCTATTAACTTTAATAATAACTAATCTAATATCATTTTTAATACTACTAGACTAGATAAATAATAGTTTTATATTAGAATTTTTTGATATAGATAAATCTGCTAAAGTATTTTCTAAAATTGAGATAAAAGGAATAAAAAATAAAAAATATAAGAAATAAAATACAGTAGCGATTTGACCTATAGTAATAAAGGGAGGTTCAGCATGATTAGCACCAATCCACATTAAAATAAAAAAATTAGCAATAAATAACCAATAAAAAAATTTCATAAAAGGTCTAAATTGTAAAGATCGTATTTTAGAAATATCTAAAATAGGTAATAAGAATAAGATTAATATAGCAGCAAACATAGCTATAACACCACCTAATTTATGAGGAATAGATCTTAAAATAGCATAGAAAGGTAAAAAATACCATTCTGGTACTATTGAGGGAGGTGTTACTAAAGGATTACCTGGTATATAATTATCTGGTTCACCCATAAAATTTGGTATAAAAAAAATAAATAATGATAATATAAAAAAAAATAAGAAAAATGTAACATAATCTTTATATGAAAAATATGGATGAAAAGGTATTTTATCACCATTAGAAGAAATTCCTAATGGATTATTACTACCATGTTGATGTAAACCTATTAAATGTAATACTATTAATGCTGCTAATAAAAATGGTAATAAAAAATGTAAACTAAAGAATCTATTTAAAGTGGCATTACTTACAGAAAAACCACCCCATATGAACTGTACAATATCAGTACCAATAAAAGGAATAGCTGAAAATAAATTAGTAATAACTGTAGCACCCCAATATGACATTTGACCGTAAGGAAGCACATAACCTAAAAATGCTGTAGCCATTACTATTAAAAAGATTACTATACCAGTATACCATAATAAAATTCTAGGTTTACTATATGAACCATAATATATTGCTTTACCCATATGTAAATATATAAATATAAAGAAAAATGCAGCAGTATTAGAATGCATATATCTAATAATCCAACCATTATTTACATCTCTCATGATCACTTAAAATTAATATAAATTATGAATTTAAAAATTATAAAGGTTTAGACTAAAATAAATATTAATTTTTATACAATTTACCTGTATCTATATATCTAGAAATTGTTCTATTACCTTTTATATTTAATGCTTTTTGAGCAACATTGTAAGATTTAAAAGGTGAACCATTAATTAATTTATTATTTTCATAAACATATACTTTAAAACCATATCTAGAACCTTTATTTTTAGAATATTCTTGAACTAATTTAGTATGATTTAATTCACTGAAAATATTAAAAAAGGAACTTTGTAAAAATATTTCATTTATTTCATTAAAATCCAAACCACTATTATAGTTCAGATTATTTGTAGAATATCTTTTTTTATTTATATTTTCTGAAATATTTTTTATAATTTTTTTTCCCTGTAGGTAGTAAATAATAACCAAATTTATACAATTTTACAATTATACACCATAATTTAAAATCTTCTAATTTTTTAGTATAGAATTTTTCAGATTCAAAAAAAGGCATAATAAAATCATATAATATATCAATATTGGTTATTACATAAGAATAAACATCTGTTTTTTTATTTAAAATTTTTATGAATTTAGGAATATTAACATCTTTAGTTTCTTTATTTATTTTAGGAGATCTTACTGTAAGATCAGTAATCTTATTTAAAATAAATAAACTTCTTTTATGTTGTGCTATTTGAAAATAAAGTCTATTATTTTTTATCCCAAATGTTCCTTCACCTTCAACGAATTTAATTAATCATTTAGAATTTATATTTAATATTTTATTTTCCGTTATCAGTTTATCGGGTATATTATATATATCCGTTATATTATATTCATTTATAATTCTTTTTTTTATTCCGATAATCTCTTGATGAGATTATCAGTAAATTAATTTCATTTTCAGTTATTATTCTACCTTTTTCTTTTTTTATTTCTATACCTTTAGCAAAATCATTAAAATCTAAATTTTTTATTGTTAATAAAGGAAAATTTTTAAATATAGAACAAATTATATTTTTAAAATCATCAAAATTTTGTACTATAAAAGAAACATATTGTTTATTTTCTTCTCTAACTTGTCCTATACCTAAATTTTTTTTTATTAATTCTAATATTTTTATATCATCTTTATGTAATAATATTTTAAATCTAAATCTAATATTATTTTTATTTTTAGAAATTAAAAAATTGCCTTTAGCATCAGTAAATCTACTAAATTAATTTAAAAATTCATTTGATATTTTAGTTAATTTAAAAATATCATCATTAAATTTATTATTTTTATTAAAATTCATAATATTATTTAATAAAATTAAATTTTTGAAATTCATATTAATTTTTTTTTTTTCGTACCTCACGGTATGAGTCGGACTATATCTTAAATAATCATTATAATAATTACTTCTTAACTTGTAGTCTCTGAAAATCTAAGGATTATGATATTAAAAAATAAAATTTTTTCTTATTTTATTAAATTTAGAAAATTTTATGTATAAATTTAATAATTTTATCCAAATTTTCTGCTAATTGTCTTTTATAATATCTTTAAGATTTTTATAGAGTATCTAAAGATATCTCATGTACTTAAAAACTAAAGAGTTTTTAGCATATAGTAAAGTTTTAAGAACACATCT